TGCAGCGTTGACAAGAGATCTGGATGCAAACTCCTCACATTGAGGTGGAGTCCTGTAGGGTGTTGGTTAGAGCACTCGCAGGCGAGTGGACCAGGATTCGCTTCCCAGTCAGGGTAAAACCTTAGGTAATTTTCTTTACTCCATATGCCTTTGTTTTCCTAGCAGTAAGTAGGAACCTGGTTGTTAGTCGATTGACGGATCACTTTCTGGAAGTAATAATCCCTTAAAAAAAAATAATTTGGTCGACTGTGGGACATTGTTGTGTGCAATTGACTGCTGCGTTTTGCCCACAAACTATACAGTAAATTTACTTTGCAGTATATATTCTATGAAGCACTTTGAGACATCTCAACAATGTGATAAGGAGCTATATCAAATGCAAGGATTATTATTATTGTCTTTTGGTAAGGAGATGGATAGGGAGTGACTAAAGATAGGAAGAAAAAATCAAGCACATCAAAAAGAATTGGTTTAAAGGAAGCAAAAGTAAAAACAAAAACACAACAGGCACTTCTCGTGCTGATGCTCTATTGTAATAAGTTACATCCATGATACAAAGCTGCCAGCACAATTCCCTTTACAGTATTGTGGACATTTCCTAAACAGGTTCTATTCTGATTAAATAGTGTCCTTTATCTGGGCATTTTCTGCAGTGGAGAAATAAGTAAATCAGTTATAATTACCCAATTATTTTTCACTGGGTGGAAAAATAACCACCAGCAAAATTTTATTGCACCACTGAAAGAAAATGAGGCATTTGATAATTTGCACAATGAATTACTGAATTGCACATTCATGGATTCTGGAACTTACAATTCTTACAAATCATTTCTAAACGACTATTGTAAAGGTTAATCCAATAATTTCGGAAAATTACATATAGTAAACTGATAACTCGTCACTCCAAGGCAAAAGGGCTCAGTGATCAGTTACCCAGGGGGGCGAATTTGGCATGTATATATATATATATATATATATATATATATAATTCATGCAGCTATGATATTGACAGCATGATGACTTAAGTTGTAATGATAAGTTAAGCAAGACAAGAGAAGTTAAATTAAGTTAAGTTAACAGGAGATTACATTACCTTATTATTAAACAACAACAACAAGATTCCATTTATTGAGCGCCTTTCACGTCGGGAGGACGTCCCAAGGCGCTGTACAGTTGGGTCAGGACCTGAGCAGGGGGGGAAATGGTCAGGGTGAGGGGAGGGAAGGGAGGGAGCGAGGAGGGGGTAGAGAGTCGAGAGGGGAGCCGAAGGCACGGTCAAAGAGAAAGGTCTTGAGACCAGCCTTGAAGGAGGAAAGAGAGGAAGCGGCGAAGGCACTGGGGGATAGAGTTCCAGAGCCTGGGGGCTGAGAGGCTGAAGGCCCGGCCACCGATGGTAGGGCGGTTGGGGCGGGGGATGTGGAGGAGATCGGAGCCAGAGGAATGGAGGGTACGGGCAGGTAGGTAGGGGGATAGTAGGTCGGAGAGATAGGAGGGATCATGGCCGTGAATGGCCTTGTAGGTGAGGATGAGGATCTTGAATTCGATCCTCTGGGGGATGGGGAGCCAGTGGAGGCGAGCGAGGGTGGGAGTGATGTGGTCGCGAAGCCTGGTGCGGGACAGTACACGAGCTGCAGAGTTCTGAATGAGCTGCAGCTTGTGGAGGGAGGTGCCGGGAAGGCCGGCGAGGAGAGAGTTCCCGTAGTCCAGCCTTGAGGTGATAAAGGCGTGGACCAGAGTTTCAGCAGCGTGAGGGATGGGGTAGTGCCGTAGTCTGGCGATGTTCCGGAGGTGATGGAAGGCGGTGCCAGTTGTGGCGCGGATATGAGGGAGAAAGGACAGCTCAGGGTCGAACAGAACACCGAGGTTCCTGACCTGCTTTGAGAGGTGGAGAGTGCAGCCTTGGATGCTGATGCTGTCAGCGCCTGAGGTGCGGAGGCACTGACTCGAGCCAATCAGGAGGGCCTCAGTTTTATGCACGTTGAGCTGAAGAAAGTTGTCTCTCGTCCAGGATTAAACATTGTAATTAAACATTTATTTAATTTACATCATTATCAAATTTATTTTTTTTGAATGCTAGTTTCAAACATTATTTCAGTACAGCGATGGTAAAGAATCAATGTTCTGGTAAACAGAACCACAGTACAGCTAAAGAACAAATAATATGTATTAAATTGTAATATATAAGCTGCGTGACCTTTTGGTCTTGTTAGAGACTCTTATTTCAACTAGGATTTTAGACTTGATGTAATCTTGTTGTGGTTAACGTTTGCAAAAATTCATAACGACAGGCAGAGCTAACAGAAATCTATCTTCCCCAAAACACCACCCTCTCCCACCCATCCACATAAATATAAGGCTGGGAAAACTTATGCCCCCATATAATAATCTTTGCATTTGATATAATACCTTATCACATCCCTGAGATGTCTCAAAGTGCCTAACAGGATTTGTGCAGTGACTGTGCATTTGAAGGCAAACTTGGCAGGCAATTTGCACACAATATTGTTCCACAAACAGCCGCAAAGTGAAATAGCAATTTTATCACACCCACCCCCACACATGCACACACACACATACACATGCGCACAAATATAAAGACAGGCAGAATCCCACATATACATACGCACAAAAATACACACAGACATACATCAAAATCAGCAGCACGAATTGTATTATTTTCTTATTAATTTACTGCCGATGATCACCCAATAAATTTGTATTGATTAGGTGACAATCATGAACTTGTTGGTGTGAACAGCATCACATAGTAAGTACTATGAGACCAGCTGTAAGGGTCTCCACCCCTCCTGCCACCATTTACATTATCTCATCTCAGGCTTCAGATCATAGTCATGGTTACTCACTGCTCAAAATTCATTCACTCTTGGATTGTGAGATGATTTGAGCCCTTCAATTGGATTATTGCCCTGCAATCATTCCCAGATATCCAGTGTTCTACAGATAACCCATCTCAACCTTTTGATTAGATTACAGTGTTGAGATCATTCCCAGATAACAATTAGTTTTTTTATAAGCCATCAAGATCCGAAATTCAATCCACTTTTAGCCTCAAGACGTTTGTCTTAAAATTTCGGAATATGCAAAATTTCGCCAAATTCTTTTCAATCTCGAAGCCAGTTCTCCTCAGTTCTTTTCAAGAAAAATGTAACCCATCGACTAAATTACCCCTTCTATTAATTTCCAGGTATACGTATTTCCTATTAAAAACATTTCTCGCTCTGCTTCACTCAGTACTATGAACCGCTCACCAACTGTGAGGGCTGCTAAGTGACTTGCTTCAAAGCTTCGGTCAATGCTGCCACATTACTGACTATCAGAAGTTCAGCATCAGGGTAAGATTTGCTGTCCTCTATTGCTCATGTTCAGCCCCTTATTTATAAGGTTCCTATAAATAATAAGCAGAGCAGAGCCTAATATCACTTTCATTTCCTTGTGGTTGCTTAAGGCACTTCTCATCCCTTCAGACCTATCTTTCCAACTGAGGTTTGGGCCACCTTACCCCCACCCCGGCACTTCAGCTACCCCACCCTCAGCTCAGGCACCCGATCAGCTATGTGAAATGATTTGAGATATCCTCTCAATGTGGAAAGTGCTATTGAGGGAGTGAAATAGTCAATTATTGAGCAAACTTCCATGGCAGTTAACTTGCCACCAGTGAAGACCAGAGGAACTTGGTTTCCACAATAGGTCATGTTAAATAGTGGGAGAGATCGCCCAAGAATACTTTGAGGTTCTTTCATGACTCGTGCTTTACTGATTTTGTAGAAGTTAACGATTCTGCAGTTAGATTGTCTGAATACAGAGCTTGTCCACAATCTTCCTTTGTAAAGACTGACAAATAATTTCTTTAACATGGCTGTCATTTCCATATCTGCTATAATATCTGCTATAATATTTCTATCCAATTTATCCTTGAAGGATCATTCTGGACTTTAACTTTCGAAGATCTCCATACAGAGCAATGACTTTTGAGCCTTTGATACACCCCCAATTCACTTTTCTAAAGTCCATTTTTCTTTACCAACATTAATTGTGTTTTGATTAGACAGAAGCCTGCCCCACACACTGAAACCCATCATCATGCTTATCCATTCTCCAATTTTCCCTTGTCTGAAATGGAGTGCCTACTCATTCCCTGGAGAGTCCTGTAGCTCAGTGGTTAGAGCACTCGCTTTGCAAGCGAGAGACCTGAGTTCAATTCCAGGCAGGTCAGGGCGAAACCTTAGGCAAGTTTCCTTACTCACACGCCTAATAATAATCCCTCCAAAAAACAAAAACAATAATTAATTTGGTCATTTTCAATCTAGCGACTGTTTGTGGGACAACGCTGTGCACAATTGGCTGCCGCGTTCGCCCATAAATATACAGTCAATTCACTTTACAGTATCCTGTGAAGCGCTTTGGGACGTCCTCCCGACGTGAAAAGCGCTATATCAACTGCAAGGATTAAGAGTATGCACTCTCCCTACTTACCTAATTCTGGAAAGTATGGTTGGTAGAAGACAACGCTTGGGGACCCCAGAGTGTGGTTTGAGGTACTATTTAAGTTTAACCAGCTAAAACCACATGATTTATCATTGTGAGTATTGTGTGGCAAGTTTCCTGCTGCTTGTCCAGCTAGGACCATCCTACCCATTAGGGCTTTGGTATGAAGGGTTAAAAGGAGTGAGTGGTAGAATAGAAGAATTCACATAATAGTGTTTTGTTTTGGTTCTTGTTTCATTACCTTTTCTACTTAATCTGTTAACCACAGAGAGTTATTCCACAACTTTGCTAACATGTTTTGAACTGCCAGCAACTTAATGCTAATTGTATTCACAGCATAGTGTGCAAGTAGGTAATTGTATCAGTGGAACAATAAAAAAAATCACAATACAAGTGAAGATAGATTATCCGCAAACAGGGTAAGTATTTAAACCTATATGTGCATTTGCACCAGTGAATGAGTGGACAAATTAACATGTAATGTTGAACTATACCTTTTGGCTCTTCTGCTTGCTTGGCAAGTTTTCTAAGTGCTGCAGCAAAACTGGCTGTATGGCTTCCCCTGCTGTTTGGTGTCCCATGAGCAGACTGGCTCCCATTTGTAACAATAGGTCCATTCAGTGAGGAAGGAGTTAAGGGGTTCACAGTCGCTGTGGTCCTTTGTGCTGCTGAAACCATCCCAACAGAAGATGACTTTGGCTCATGGCTCATGCCTGGAAATAAAGACAGTCACAATAATCAGTCTGTTTCATCTCCTTAACACTCCTGATTAAATCCATCAACTGCATTCCTTGGAAACCCTATATATTTTCTTTTTTACTGAATCACAAATTTCAGTCAGATTATAATACAGATGAAAGATGCTGGAAAGCAAAGTACTCCCCTGAAGTCCAGAAATCGCAGTATCGCTGCCACAGGTTTCAGGGCTTTTTTGCTTTACAGCGGTTTCACGCTATTTGTGTTTCAGTAGACTCAGGAAATCCTTCAAGTGCTGCAGAGCCGAAACAGCTGATAAGTAGACAAAGGCCACGCTTCATGCCTCGCTCCTTTAATCACCTTAAGGTTTACTGTATATAGCCGACAATCAGTCACATGGTGGTTCAAGACCATGATAATCCCAGGGCTTTCTGAAGTGTCTTTAAACTGATATTAAGCTTTTATTCTTATACACAGGAAACATGCATTGATATTCTTAAATCGTCTCTCTTTCTCATTCTTAAAATTAGCTGGAGACGAACATGGATAACATTTGTATTTGGCACGCGCGCTGTTTTAATCCGCTTGTTAAGAGCAAAGAAAGCCTGCTAAATTCCTATTGAAAACAATGGTATTTTCTGAAACCTGTTGGTGGGATAGGTTTATACTTTGGCCTAGATGCCTCTCTTGTGAAATACAGGAGTAAAATCCGCAGTGTTTCATAACCTACTGAGAAATATCATAAATTCTACCTCATAAATTGATTCTGGAACTACTTTTTAATCACCTGGAAGAATGGAATTGCCAAGAATGAATTTGTTTGACAACATTAGCACGAGACACCCTGCCCTAGCCCGATCCTTTCAGGGATAAGTGGCAAATTAGGATGAGAGAGCATTTCAGGATGAAGATGGGTCGGTTCGTTCAATAGATTTTTCGACTTTGCTCTTTGCTGGAGTCAGAGGTTGAAGCAATCAGGTTCAACAAATGAAGACTGCAGAGTGCTTCCTGCCAGTGGCGTAAAAAAACACTGGTGCAAAAATCTAACATTTTGCTTATTTGACCATCTCTCTCTCCCTGCCAAAGAGAATGCATGATGCGGCTGTACAACAATGGGGAGTGAGAGAACACGCGTCTTTCCACTACCAATGGGTTGATCCCCCATAACCTAGTGGGCCTTGGCACGACTGCAACAATTGCCACATTGTAGTTACGCCTCTGCTTGCTGCATTCCCTGTGTGCCTGTCACTCTGATTTGCTTGGTATAGACAGAGGCCCTTCAACAAAGTATGGCATGTTGTGGCCTGTGGGTAAAAGGCGTATCAGAAGCCAACTGAACTATAGGGAGGTCAGGAAAACACATCGTGAGGAATGCCAAGTTAGATATAAAAGGAGGTACTTCTTCACATAAGGAATCCTCAATTACCACACTGACAGAGTTTTCTGTTTGAGTGCGCAATTTAAAATTTTAAAAAATTGGCCAAAACTTTATGGAAAATGTGCTGAAATCATGAAGACTTTGCTGAACAATGCTATTCATCTGCAAGTATACATTTATACGTCTCACCAAGGTGCTTGTTTAGAAAGGTGACTGGTTACTTTTCCTCACAGGACAAACTGCTTTACAACATAAAGGAGGCGGTGGCATAAAGCAACTTAAAGAGCTAAACCTCTAGAGGAGGCAGCAATGGAATTATTTAGACCAGAAAAGCAATGCAAGGATAGAAAACTTTGAAAGAGGAGCTAGGACCCCCCGATGACAAAACCCCTGAAGAAATAAGGAGCATGAATCCCGATGCTTTGCATTATACACGGACTCAATGGAAGGATATTGCAAGGCAAGCATTCACAAAAGCCTTTGTGTCCCACATATGCTGCAAAGCAAGGTATGGGGATGACCTTTGCTGTTGTAGTACAATTCCTCGCTTTGTTTTCTCTTTGCTCTTTGCTGGAGTCAGAGGTTGAAGCAATAGAACAAACAATGGGGCCTCAGTTGCCCAACATGCAACTATCACCTCCAGCTACAGACCTTGAACTCAACAGCTTATATCCAAGCTTTGAAGGGAATTCAGATACATGGGAGGAAGCATGAGGTAAGTCACAAAGCATCGGGGGGGCTGGAGCTCAACTGGGAGAGAGCTCAGACTATCGATGAACAAGGTGTGCTAAGGTGGAGCCAGCATCTGATGTGGACCTAGGAGGACCATGCTGTGAAATGCATTCTTTTGACTGCTAACAAGCAGCAGGAATGCTGTTTTCAATATCTTGAAAAATTTCCTCTGGGGCTAAAATATAATATTTGTAACAGGTGCCGGCAAACCAAAATATATCACTTCAACCTGCAGAAATTTTGTTCCAGAGATAGATCACGTCAGAGCGAAGTTCCTATAGGTTGGTGTGATCTACTTTGTGTTACAATCAGTAGTCGCTATTTATAACTCCTGTTAGGAATATCACATTCTTGACTTCTCTACATCAATTCCTGTTCTGCCTAAACTGGACCATAGGTGAATTCAAATTCCTGAGTGGTTTATAGATTCATAAGTGATAAGGTGACCCTTTCAACCACTATAATCCGAATCACAGAGAAACCATTCTATTCAGTTGGGATCCTTGGACTGAAGAGGCACAAAAGAGGAATAATAATAATAATAATCCTTGCATTTGATATAGCGCTTTTCACATCTTCTAAACGTCCCAAAGCGCTTCACAGAATATACTGTAAAGTGAATTGACTGTATATTTGTGGGCAAACGCGGCAGCCAATTGCGCACAGCAATGTCCCACAAACAGTCGTAGATTGAAAATGACCAATTTGAATGCACTGTGTGTGCGCCACCCAGATATTTTACATTCACGTATGTGATTTTTTAGTGGTCATCCACTCCCATCTGGTTGATGAAAGTCAAAACATAGCTGGCTGGAGTCTGGTTGAACACGTACATCCAGTCAATCACTTTGTGGATTCTAGACCTTCCAGATTGGGGGGAAAAAAGTATGCAGTGTTTTTAACTGCTATGGACTCTCAACTGAACCTACGATATCTGTTTGCCCTGCTCAGCAAGGTTTCTGCCTCTTGATGTATACATCTGCAGACAAAAGGTTGGGTAATGTCAGATATGTCTCCAGATGGTGCCTGTAAACTGCTTGTAGCAAAGACATGCAGTGCAGCAGTTAGGTTTGAGTCAACTGGCAGTGCAGTAGTCACAGTGGGCTCAGAAGTCAAGTCATTACTTACAATGTGGCACAACACACTGACTGCTTCATGGGTAATACAAAGCCACTTCGCACATTGATCCTCCATCATGTTAAGGTAATTAGATCATGGCCTATAAACCCAATCCCTAGTTGAATATCTGTCTGTCATTTACTTTTATGGAGTCTACAAGCTCTTTCCATTCTGCAGTCTTCAACATTTATCACAAGCAAATAGCTGCTGCCAACATCCATTGTGAAAGGCTACAGAAAAGTAATCATCCTTCTAACTTACACAGCCTTTCTGCTGTACTACAATTGATCCTAAGTAATGCCACGTCCGAGTTAGCATTCTTACAACAGTTCTAATAGACCAAATAAACCAAAGAACTGCAAGTGAAATCTGCTCCTCAACCAAAGCAAGCAGCTCATTGCTTTAATTGATCTGTAGCTGCCAAATTAGAAGATGGGTGATGATTGTACGGAGGACAACATACTGCTGATATTTGACCTCTCTATCTGATGGAAACTTTAATGTCAAATAGAATGTCTGCTGGACAGCCAATGCCTAGTAAGCTAAGGAGTGCAAAATAGCAAATGGTACTCAAAAAAAGTGAGATGTGCTAGGTAGACTGTTAGCCTAACATCTCTGGTCGGGAAAATGGTGGTGAGTTATATGGGATGTTACTAATGCACATCTCCAGAGCACAAATGGTATAAAGAGTAATCAACATGGACTTAAAAGCAATTGGACTTAAAAGCAATTGGTCTCTTCCCTGGAATTCTTTAAAGAAAAGGCAAATAAACTACTGGATGAAAACTACCCAATGAATACAATTTGATAAAATTCCACATCAGATGTTTAAGAGATAAAAATAATCACAAATTAGACAGTTGCAAACAAGCTCAAATGGCAGTGATAAATGGGGTCCCCTTGGAATCGAGTCAATCCTTTGTGGCAGTCTCAGTAGTGTAGTTCCTGAGCCAGGTGAGTCTGCAGTACTCCAATGCATGACTATTGACGAGACCAGCCAGCCTGACTCATCAGCAGGATTCAGAGGAACAAACTAGCAATACTCCTGTTAACCATGAAAGTCACAGTCCTAACAAATAAAGTAATCCTAGGCAACAAGGAGCAGGAAGCTTTCCAGACAGTACTTTCAATGGAAGTTATGTAGTTTTAGATGGTTAAACTCAGCAGTCCCCAAACACACACACTGAAGTGTTCAAGCCTTGGCTCTTGCCAACCTGTGCCCAATAATCTGTGAAGTTACATAAAAAAACTACGTCCCTCCAGGGAGAGAGTGTGGATTTCTTTCCAGATACAGGGGAATTTCCATATGTAGGTGGCATACATACTTGGAACTCTCACTCAGTCTGGTTTGCTCCTAAGCATGGTGATGGGTTCCGCTTATGTCAGAACCCTTGGCTGACCCCCCAAGATGCTAAAGAATGGAAAAAGCTTTATCTGGGCCAAAACAGTGACTAACGAAGGGTCACAGTTGAAATATCTGGTTGGAAACATAATGAAGGTTATAGAAAATTATTCTTAAGCTTTGACAGTTTCTGGCCTCAGTTAAGTCAGTACAGTGTAAGGACTAGTCGACTTGGAATTAGAAACATTTGGTCAGGCCTCATAAATCTACAGGAAGTTTTGAGGAAGTGACTAAACTAGAGGATATACGCTATGATTGAAAAGGATGGATTAAACATCTAATTCAAAATAAAGAGATAAGAGCTAAATTAAAGAGCAGGCCCTCAAATATAATCTCAGAATTGCTCCCAGGACTAACAAATTGCAGGCCCTAAAAACCTACTTCAA